TATAATTGTAATCACTTTTTTTATCATTATACGCAGCTGGATATAGAGAGAGAGAGATATATATAGAGAGAGAGAGAGAGAGAAAGCATGTTTGCAATAAAGCCAGAGTATAATAGTTATTGCATTATTACCTCCACGAGATAACGAATAACGGAACTTGCACTTAGGACAGTCGATGCCATTATCGGCGAGATGTTTGGCCAAACCTGCGGCTTGATTGTCAGGATCGTTCTCGTCCTTCCAAACGGCAAATTTTTCGCACGAGATTCTCTCGTGCTGTTTCTCCCACTAAAAAGAGAGACTGTTAGAAAAAAAAACAAACATACGTTTGTTTTTTAAACTTTTGATTAATATACAAACTCGAAAATTTTTTTGTGAAAACTTGAAAAGTTTTTTTTGTCTTTTAATTAATACACAAACTCGAAAATGCGTCGTACATACCGGTCTTCGGCAAAAGGCACAGGTGACAGATCGGCAATCGGGACAGATCAGACGCTTCTGGTCAGGATCTGCGTAAAATCCACTTGAACACTAAAAAACGCACACAATAATCTTGATAGATTTCGATACAAAAATAGACAATCGCAATAAAATCCTGTTACCTGAATGCACCACTTGAAGTTCGGATCTTGCATCAAAGTCCGATCTCTGAGCTTCCTCTGGAAAAGCTCGTGGATCGGCGGGTCGAGCAAGGTTTTCAATTGTATATCCAGATTGCTGAAATATTCGAGGACCTCGTCCTCGCTTGCGTCCTTGAGATTAGGTTCTTTGCAAAACGGACAAACGGCATCCGTGATGTTTCTATCGCTAATTTGGATGGTGAAGTAATTCTTTGCGCATTCGTTGCAGCAGCGGTGTATGCACTTGAGCATGGAGATCATCTAAAATTATGCAAATGAAAATGTATTGAGGCGGGATCGAAAAATTATGATGCGATTTGCGGTTCCCGTTGAATCTCTATTCTCGATTATCTCGACGAAAAGATCGTTAAGTAAGATTCGCAAAAAGCGATCAATCTAAACAGGAATTTCGGAACGGGACGCACATTATTGTCGTTTCCTTCTTGGATTTAACTTGAAAAAGCTTTACTCTTTTCGCGTTTGCTCTCTCCACTCGTTTCAACGACACTCACTTGACTCATTGCGAAACGACCGGTGCACAGCTCGCACTCTTGCTGCAGGAAGGCGAGCGCCGACTCTATGCTGGAACATTCTTTCGCGGCTTGGAGCGCCTCGGCATCTCCGAACTTGAGGGTCAGCAAACTAGCGGCGACCTCGGCCTCGTCGTAATTTGCAGCCCGACCTTCCGCCAAGAGACGACGCGCTATTCTCTGCACACGTGACAAACATAACATTGCTTCGATATCGGTCGCATAATTTCCACATCTTTTGTTTAAAAAGATAATTTTAGATTTCTCTTCTATAAATCTCGACTTGGGAACATTCGGATTTTTTGTTCGTTATAGGCCATTTATAAGTAAATATTGTAATTTAAAGTGACGCTTTAATAATGGAATTAATAAAATAATGGAGACAATAGTGTATACTATATAAATTTCTGCAGCCCGATCTAAATCAGTATAAATTCCAAGAATGAAATTTTTAATCTTTTCTTTTTTATCGTCACAGTATTATTGAATGACTATTCTAAGAATAATCAAGTTAGATGATTAAATAAAACATTATAAAAGATTTAAGAAGATGTTTGATGAGATTAAAAATATTTTGAAAATGAGAGAATATATATATTAAAATCTTTATCGAATACATCTAGAAACGAGCTTTCTTTTATTCGATATATATGACTATCGGGATAAATAATTAATTCTCAAGGTAATTAATTTATAATCGAGATAATCAATTCACATGCTTTTATATAATCGACGTTTATGCATGGAGGATACCTTAAATACTCTACATCTAGAACAGGGAATATCTAGAGGATAATACATCTCACCTCATCTCTTTCCTGAATAATTAAGCGCTATTACATGTTATACAAGACACACATAACGCCAACTTTCTCGATAGATAATAAGTTAGTCGCGATATGATACTTACCTTCGCGTTAGCATACATCGTACAAAACTCTTGTCGCAGTCAAATGATCAACAATTAACACACGATTAAAAAGTATTAAGAGACACCCGTTCAGCATTTCGAGCCGTTTGTATAGATCATTGATCTGCCAACGAAAAGTTTGAAAAAAATCGATTCTTGTGGCGACTCGCGTTCGCGAGGAGGATCTTTCGGCGCAACGAGGGCGTCTACAAGAGGGTCATGTCACTTCCGGCAACTCTCGTCTACTGACCTCCCGCTCCGTCTTGGGAGATCCCTGTCTCTTGCGCCTGATGCTTTCCACGCGTGTCCTTTCGGTATTCTCCTCGCCCTCGAACCGACGGATGCAACTGGCTACGAGAGAAAATCGTTTCCTCGGCGCTTTCGCCCGATCCACCCCCTTTAACGTGTCGTCGTCGTCGTCGTCAACGTCTCTCCCGACTTTGACCTCTTTGCTCCCTGTACTCGCCCTTCGGCCTATCTTGGCCCGTCTCGCGCTCGTCACTTTCCTCGTCTTATCATTCTGCATGACTGTCGACTGATCTCTTTCCTCGATTCTGTTTGCGTCTTCGAGTTTCAACTCACTTCTCTTTGAGTCGGTCGCTTTTGACTGGATGTCCTCCTTTGATTCTGTACTTTCCTCGAACTTTGCTGAAAACGCTATCGCGGAATCAGCTACGGCAGCGTTAGAATCCGAGATTTCAAGGTTTTGAGAAAGTTTCGATGCCATCTCATCGATCTCCGCGATTATTTCCGGTTGAATTGGTTCTACGATAGCTTCCTTCAATGGATCCAAATTATTCCTTTCATCTTCTTGCGCAACTTCAGAATTACTTTCCGCTCTATTCGAAATGTCGACTTCCTCGTGTATTGTATCATCGGCTTCTTTAACGGCCATCTCGAGTTGTTGTTCCGAGACTTCGTGTTGTATATTCGTCTCTTCTCCTTCGGATGGTAGCTCCTCGTACACATCTTCTTCCATCGAATCTTCAAGCTCGCTTGACTTAATCTCCCATTCATCGACCGTACTTTCGGACAATACGGAATCACGATCGTGGCTTTCTGTTTCGTAGGAACAAGTGATATCTCTCCCGCTCTCCTCGGACCCGCTCGTCCGTTCCTCTTCGGATTCCGATATTTCAGACCTTATCTCGTTTAGTGTTTTCTCTAACAACAATTCTGCGTCCGTGAACTCCTCGACGGAATTGCATTCCGAGTTATGATCGGAGATGTACTTCGCCGTTTCTGTGTCCTCGCCGCTCTCGGAATACTCGGAATCGGAGCTCAAGGCATGGGAGCTCTCCTCGATTGCGTTTTCAATCTCCAATTGTTCGTTAAAAGTTGCAGACAAATCATTGTTGCACATCGAGCTCGACTCTTGCGAATTCTCGTCTAATGTAGATTCCGATTGTATTGATTCAACTTTCGGAAGCTCCTCGGTTTCTTCCACGGCGCTTCTTTCAGCATGATTCTCTTCTAGAATCTGCTCGTCTTTTGCATTTTCTGTAATTTCAATTGTTTTTGCTGGATTTAATTTGCCATTACTAGATTCAATTCGATCCGTCTTCGAATTATCTTTCGAATCGACTTTCCGCACGATCGGTGAACTCGGTATCTTAACTTTTTCCTGGGTTTTCAAAGATAATTTCGAAATTGCTTGCGACGCTATCGGCAATTTAGTCGATATGTTTTTTAACGATAGTTTGTCGTTTAAATTTGTTTTAGAAGAGCTCGGTGGGACGATATTTGCAGATCGCGCGATTTTTTGATGTATCAAAACGGGTATCTTTGACGGTGAAGATATTTTAGATTTCGAATTATCGTTTCTATTTTTTGTCGACAGCACTTTCATCGACATTTTGTTATCATTTGACATTTCAGTTTCGCGATTTACAATCTCTTTTACTCCTCGATTTTCAGAAATATCCATTTCAATATTTTTGGATATTTCCGCCTTTTTATTTCGATTAACTTCAATCATTTTATTTTTACAACGTTCGAGCTTTTTATTTTCGGTATTTTCCGATTTCTTCTCGTTACATTTTTTAATATTAATTGACGGTTCGAGATTATCGATCGCGAGTATCTTTTCCGTATTGGACGTAGAAACTTCTTTATTTTTATTCGTTTTGTTATTTCCCGCAGTTCTTTGCAGATTGGTGTTAGTTAACGATTGTTTAATAGGTTTACCCGATAGTTTCATAATCAACTTACTTCCGTTGTCTGTCTTATCGCGCGCGGTGCACGTCGATTTTACGGATTCTTTAATTCGCGAGTCATTGTTTCGTATTGCTCGATTCGACGTCTTGGTAATCTCGCTAGCCGTTGCCCTCGCTTTTGTGACGGTCGTACTATTCGGGCTCGTGCTTTTACGCGGCGAACCTTTTCTCGGTACGCCAGTGAACTTTCTCACCACCTTAACGGGCGACTTTCTTCGGACGATTTTTTTAAGGGGCGATCTATCCTTTACGACGGGTTTCGCGATTACGCTTTTACGAGGTTGTCTCGTACTCTTTTCCGACGACTCGTTATTCGGTAATTCTGATCTAACCGGTTCGTTACGCGCGACGATTGAAATGTCGTTTCCGGAAGAATCGACGTCTCTCGCATTCTCTCGCATGCCGTTTGTATCGACATCACCGATTCGATCCGACTCGTCGCGTTCGACGGTATTCGCCGCGATGTCTTTTATCGGTGCGCAATCATTCACCGCTATTATGGGTGATTCCGATATCTTTATTTCAAAGGTATCGGATACGTCGTCGATATTTGTCGTAATAGGAACCGAGAATGAGTCTTCGTTGTCGATGATCGGGGCGATATTTTTCTCCTCGGTTTGCGATGCGAAGAATATATTTTTAAGCGCATGTAAAATGCTTCTTGTCGCGAAATTTGATGTTTCCGCGTCGCGTTTCCCGTCAGATTGAGAAACCTTATCTCCGGGGTAAGGTTCCTCGGCGGGAATCGAAACGCTTTCGCTCGGTTCTGCGGCAGGAACGTTTTCGACGGATAATCCACGGGAGGTGTTATTAATAGTATTTATTAATCGATCGTGATTTTCATCGGAGAGTCCGTTAGTATCTATAACAGAGTCCTCGTCGACAATGTGACTTTTTAAGGTTTCAGAGATTTTGACAGACTCTACTTCGTTCCGCTCTGAAATTTTTACATCTCTCAAAGATTCAGAGTCGCATGTATTTGACGTTTCGGCATGCAAAGTACTTTCGTGACAAGTGTCGATTGAAGGAGAGGATCGTAACGCCTGCGTTAAGCGATCGTGTGCGATTACTTCTCGATTATTTGTCGGAGCGGATGGTCCGTCTCGAATTAAATCGTCCACGGGATTCTCAAGTGATCGAACGTCCGACGTGCATTCGATCGTTGAACTGTCGGATTTTGCCGGGGCGAGCATACTCTCCTTTCCCGGATCGTCCGGATTATTGAAATTCGCCGCAGAGTCTGTTAATGACAGCGGAACACTCTCATCGGTTCGTAATTGAGTAATGGATAAATCGTCGGTCGTACTTTGCTCGACGGGCACGTCTGCTCCTTTCAACGTAGTTTCATCTTTACCGTCGCTCGCGGGAGTATGATATGTGACCAAAATTGTCTGTTCTACTTTTTCCGAAACGTGCACCGCATCTTTCTCAACGCTCGGCTTTGTATCATTTTTATCGTGACGCAATGTCGTTTCGAGATTATCGAGTATTTCGACGGACGGTGATTTCGCGTCGAAAATTTTCGCGGATGATGCAACTGGCGAAGCTGATGAGATAACATGAGATGAATCGTTCGAGTGTTCTTTTAATTCCTGCGTGTTAATATCTTGTTTATTTATGGATTCCGTATTAGTAGCGTATGTCGTTTCGCACGAAATGGACAAATGATTGGCGTGAGAATCGCGATCGATCGCATCCTTCTGGCAGATATCCATCTCAGATCTTTCCGTGTTAGAGTCATTCGTAGAAGCGGGTGAAATTTGATTTCGCGACGAGTCATTTTTTAGAAGCGGATCAATGATCGCAGAGGCGTTATCAGCGGGAAGCTTTTCATTAGGCGCGATGGAAGAGTCGCTCGCTTCCTTTGACGATGATGATGATGATGATGCACCGATCAACGTGTCGTCGGATACCACTCTAAGCTCGTGAGCTTCCCGATAGACAATGGATCGATCATGCGACACAGATGATGTTAACGATCGCGCGTGAAAACTCGATGAATCACCTGAAGACGTTTCCTCGACTGATCCTTCCGTCGATACGGTTTCGCCTCCAGCAGATCTATCCTGACTATCATTTTCCGCAGATGTGGCGACTATCTCTAAAGAATTCTTACGTGAATGTATGTGCTCCGCGATGTCCGTTTGCAACGTTCCATTAATCGGTTCTGTTGTCGCGACGCTGAACGTTGCCGCTTTATTCGCAGTCAGCGTTTCTTCGGAAACGTCCGTCAACTTGAGGTCTACCGAATCCGAGAACGTTTCGGATATCAGAGCCGTCGCGATGTTAGTTTGCGAAATGTTAGCTTCATCCCTATTCGCGTTACGTACCGATCTGACATCCAGCTGCTGTTGTTTGATATCTGGAACGCTGGACCGGGACTTTGCCATCTGAGAATCCGGAACCTCGCATGATTCGATGACGTTCCTCTTGTCGATAATTTTGTTGTTGCTCGATTTTGTTATGGTATTTTTCTCATGTTTATCACTATTCTTCTCCCGAAGAGGCGACCCTTCAGTTTTATCCGCAGTTGCCGGAACAGACTTCTTCTTGTCGTCGTCGTTCCTTGGCTGAAGAG